AGATTCAAATCCAGCCCAGGCCTGCCAAACAACAATGACAATTACAACAACAGAAATAGCCGGGCATTGTGTCAGTTGTCTATAGTCCCAGTTACTTGGGAGGCGTGTTGAGCCCAAGAGTTTGAGGCACTCTACTGAGGGTGACAAAGTGAGACTGTCTCAAAAAAAAAAAAAAGCTTAGTTTTTTTAACAAAATATTTATAAAATATTAAAAATGCTTAATTTTGATGGTGTGATGATATTCATGCTGAAATATATAATGGTGACTCGGCACCTGTTGCTCAGTGGTTAGGGAGTCAGCCACATAGACTGGGGTTGGTGGTGTCAAACCCAGCCCAAGCCTGCTAAACAACAGTGACAGCAACAACAACAAAAATAGCCTAGCCAGATGTTGCGGCAGGCGCCTGTAGTCCCGGCTTCAAAAATAAATAAATAAATAAAAATAAAGTATATGGAGTGAAATGAACAAAGACTTAGATATGCTGGGGTGTTTTTTTTGTTTTTTGTTTTTGAGAAAGTCTCACTATGTTGCCCTCAGTAGAGTGCTGTGGCATCACATCTCACAGAAACTTCCAACTCCTGGCTTAAGCAATTCTCTTGCCTCAGCCTCCTAAGTAGCTGGGACTACAGGCACCCACCACATTGGGTTTTTTGTTTGTTTGTTTGTTTGTTTGTTTGTTTTGAAACAGAAGTCTCAAGCATCATAGCTTACAGCAACCTCCAACTCAAGCGATCCTCTTGCCTCAGTTTTTCTATTTTTAGTAGAGACGGGATCTCGATTTTTGCTCATGGTGGTCTGGAACTCCTCAGCTCCAGGGGTCCTCAAACTTTTTAAACAGGGGGCCAGTTCACTGTTCCTTGGACTGTTGGAGGGCCAGACTGCGGGCCCCCGGGACGAGTCGGCTGCTAAACAAGACAGGCAGCAGTGACAAAAACACCTGTCAGGCCAGATAAATGTCCTAGGCAGGCTGCATGTGGCCCACAGGCCGTAGTTTGAGGACGCCTGGTAAGCAATCCACCTGTCTTGGCCTCCCAGAGTACTAGGATTATAGGTGTGAGCCACTCTGCCTAGTCTTTAGTGTGATATATTCTTGATAATTGTTAAATTTGGGTTATCACTACTAGGGGGTTCATTATGGCTCACTCTTTTGTATGTTTGCAGCTCTTCATTAGAAAATGTCTAGTTTAAAATATAGAAGAAGAAGAGAATAAAGGACTCTGAAATGGCCCCATGCATGAAATGGAGAGTGGGCAAGTAGAGGTGACATTACAAATTGGTGAAAACTCTTGGGCTCAAGCAATTCTCTTGCCTCAGTCTCCTTAGCAGCTGGGACTACAGGCTCCTGCCACAACACCCCACTAAGAGATGAGGTCTCCCGCTGGCTCAGGCTGGTCTCAAACCCGTGAGCTCAGGCAATCTACCCATCTCAGCCTCCCAGAGTGCTAGGATT